GACTGTGTCATGTATTATTGAATGTGGCATATAATTATGTAGGTGATCTAATTTTTTTTGGAATTCTAATCCAGTGAAATTAAAATCACAGTGAAAAATTTTCAGATCGATGGTATATTATGTCTTTTACATGTATGTGTACTTCAATCTTCAACAATTTTATTGTATTTCTAATTTTCTTTTTATCTTAAATTTTCTTTCCCTCAATCCCCCCAGCCTCTTGAAGCCTCTGGTTTGTATGAGTTGGCTCAGGTTCAGTTGCAGTCTGGTAATATTGAAGTTGCTCTTGACTATCTATTTGGAGCTGTGCAATTGTTTGCTCAAGTCTTTGGGCCACTACATGTCAACATAGCAAACTGTTATAAGTGAGTGGTGTCATTTAAGTACTTATATATTCCATTGTATTATTATATATGGAGTTATTGCACGAATTCATCATGCTCTAGGAGACAGTAAACTAGTAAGTGGTGCATGTAACTACATGTATGTGCATGCCATGTACATGTTAATGTATCGACTGGTTGTACATGTAGTTTAGTTTACATGACTGATACCGAATTAAGACGTTATGCATGTTCTAAAGTTTACTCACTTTCACCTGATCCCTGGTTGTTATCAATTAATAATAAAAGCTGAATTTGATTTGGCTGTTCTAGCTGCGTAATTTTGGTCAAGGTATGTCATTGAGTTTATAGAGGGACATCCAAAAAAGGCTAAGGCCTTGTCATTTTGATCTGTTCTTTTCTAAGGACTGGAAGGACCTAGCAATTCTAATGGCACAAACAAAATTTCTAAATTCCTGGATTATCAAAAGTTATTATAAACAAGCGTAACAGTGTAAAAGTATTACTATAATTGATTTCACCACCTTGCATGTACAGCTGGGTTCTTATTAAAACTTAAAGAGGTTTTCTCCACCTTCTAATCCTTCAAGAAAGGTCTTGAGACTGTACATATGTTCTTTTGCTTAAAAACTTATAACTTTGTCCTATGTGTAAGCCACCATTTTGTTTTCTCTGACTACTTAAAGGAGCGTGGGAGGGTGTTTGCTAAGGCTTATGAATTTTCTTATTTCTCCAATACAACATGTATAAAAGAAATGTAAGTGTGGACATACAAATATGCAAGCATCGCATGTGGGTGAAATCAATTATACATGTAGGAACGACAAGGGGACTACACCCCAGGTCGTTAAAAATCACTAAGTCAAATGAAACTCAACAGACTTTAGTTCAAAACGCTTTAAAACTTTATTAATATTTTAATTTCTTTACAAGGTAGCAATTAATTATTTACTCAATTGAAATTAAATTTTAAATTGACTTGCTACATTTAATCTCTCTCTTTTTTCATCTTCAGGCAATATCATATCAGCACAAAACTGTCATTATGTATGAGAGACTGCTAGGAGTGGACCACTGTAGCTCTATATCAGCCTATGTTCGTTATTAATAACTGGCCACACACACAATATTTATTATAAATTTATCGCACTATTAGTTCCCCACAAAGCATGCTAAGTTAGCTAAAAGGCATGCTTTATGAGCTGACAAGCCTTTGAAATTCATAAAAAAATCCAAATTTGATTAGAATGAGCTCAAACTTTGGAACATCATTAGGACATGTATATGTATCAGAAACATGTCTCGAGCAATTTTTGGCAAAATTTGG